CATGGGCCGGCAGGTTCGGGTGAGGCTGGCAGAGTCGGCAGAGCTGGAGGTGTCGGCGAGCACGGACGAGGCGTTCAGTGGTTGCATCTGTGCAGATGAAGCAAGGACCTTCCGATGGGGCGTGCGAGCCACCAGCCTGGGTACGGAACACCGGGGCCATGGCAGAACCCCTCTGCCCTGCTGCTTGGGCACCCCCTCGGAGGATGGGGCGGGCAGGGAGGATGGGAGCAAATGCAATGCCGCCTGGAAAGCTCTCCTCCACTCCACTCTCATCCTTCAGATTGCCTCCCAGCACTGCTCCTCAACCTGGTGACCCCCATCCCAATCCAGCCAGCCCCACCCAAAGCCCCAGGGCTGATGCAAGCCCATGGGGCTGCAGTGTGGGCTGGGGGGCTCCGTGGGGACTGAGTGCCCCGTTTGCATCTGCAGGGGAGGTGAACATCACCATCAGCACCGAGGCCCTCAGCTCCAAGGAGCTCTGCGGCAACGAGATGCCCGTTGTGCCAGCCCAGGGCCGCATGGACACCATGATAAAGCCCTTGCTGGTGCAGGTCAGATGGGTTATGGAGGAGGAAGGTGGGATGGGTTTGGGGACAGGGTCCAAGCAGCCCTCAGGGTGCAGCAGGAGGACCGGGAGCAGGACAGCACCCAGCCCTGAGCCTGGGCTTCAGGCATGACCCTGGGGGACATGGCTGGTCCCTTCTCCTCACTGACTCTGGTGCTGCTTCCCCACAGCCCGGGGGGATCCTGGTGGAGAAGGCGCACAACTCCCTGCTCTGCCAGGAAGGTAGGACAGGCGGGGGGTGTCCAGCAGTGCGTGGGGCAGGGATGCTTGGCCACTGGTAGCAAGGGCCACCGGGCCAGAGGAGCCAAGGACCAGGGTCCATAGATGCTCTTGGCTGAGATGCCCCAACCCAGCCTTGAGCCCATGGAGGGTCAGGGCAGGAAAGGGGTGGGTGAGGGTGCCATGAGGCCGGGCCGGGAGGAGCTGGGCATCCCCACTGTCGTTGCCCTCCATCCCCACAGTCGCTGAAGAAATCTCCCTGGAGGTTCCCGCAAACATCTTGGAGGGCTCCCAGCGAGCCCACGTCACCGTGATGGGTAAGGGACAGGCAGGGGACG